CCCCCCCCCCCCCCCCCCCCACACAAACTCACACACCATCACAAACCATCACAAACCATCACAAACCACAAGCCATCACAAACCATCACAAACCACAAACCATCACAAACCATCCCAAACCACAAGCCACCATAAACCATCACAAGCCAGCACAAACCACAAGCCATCACAAACCATCACAAACCATCACAAACCATCACAAACCATCACAAACCATCACAAACCATCGCAAACCATCACAAACCATCACAAACCATCACAAACCACCACAAACCACCACAAACCACCACAAACCATCACAAACCATCACAAACCATCACAAACCATCACAAACCATCACAAACCACCACAAACCACCACAAACCATCACAAAATATCACACCTACGTTAGCCAGTCGTTGTAAGTGTTATATGTATTGAATCGTCGTACTCTATGGCCGTGTACATTTAAATTGATCTAGTATATGAAATAATTCGTTTAAAACCATTTAAAAAAAATGATACACGCTTTTGTTTCTTGTTTAAAACGGAAACACCCTCAGCTGACGTATATCAAAACGTGGCAACTTTCCCGTCATTTAGGTAAATCCTATTGTGTTGGCTTTTTCTCATCAGGACTTCTGTCGAGTTCAGTAGCATCGTTCCGTTCGTAGCGTCTAATGACGATAGTTCCATATGGTTCATTATAGGTTTGCATGTTTAAAACAAAAAAAAAATGAAACTACTCATTGTGGTGTTCAATCCTCCAGGTGATTTGTGTCGGACGCAGTGTTCAAGTGTCCACAACTTCTACAGCCGATTCATCGAGGAGGCCATAATGCGTCAATACTTGGTCAAGTGCCTCGACAACTGTCCAGGTACGAGACTTAAGTCATGTAGGCCCCGAAAATCAACTCGTTAGAGAGTACTAAAGCCTGAAGCCGGGTATTGTCTTTAAGTTGGAGTCGAATATGTTTAGTGTCATTCACTTAAAATTGATTGTATGTCAATGTACTGATCCTAATCCGGGGTTATCACGCGTGGTCAAACGTATCCGGAAATTTGATCGACGGTAAATTGATCGACGGTAATTTGATCGAACGGAAATTTGGTCGAAACTTTTTTCTTCTTCAGTTTTTACATTAAAATTTTGCTTCAAATTTCTTTTTGAACGCATTATTTTATTTTACTATATAGTATAGTGCGTTTAAAAAGATATTTGACGAAAATTTTGACGTGTGGACTGAAAAAAATATTCGATTTTTTTTTTTTGGTCTTTTAAAATTTAAACAATTGTTCCGTATTTTTTATAAGATTAGGTTGTCCAATAGTTTAGGAACTCATATCAGAAATGCATACGCTCAATATGGGCTGACAATTACATCATGGAACGTAATCATAACAAAATAAACACAGCCTGTTTGATTGCCCAGTACTATGTTTTTGTAGAGTTATTTGATTAGACCAGGGGTGGGGGGCAAACTACAGCCCGCGGCCCGCATGCGGCCAGGCAACTGATATTATGCGGCCCTCGAAGGCAATTTAGAAATTAAAAAATACTTGTTATTACGTTATTTTGTTGAGTTTTACAGAATTTCATATAACTTTATGATTGTTTTAACATTTTTGATCAAGTTTCTTTTTAATTTTTCTCTTTTTTAAAACAGTCCTTCACTTTAGTCATGCACTTCTAAAATTCGAACTTACCGATTTTAATATAGATAAATGTTTATTGACATGTAAACATTGGACACATAATATACATGCGGCCCACCAGTAGCTTTACATTTGTCCATGCGGCCCACCAGTAGCTTTACATTTGTCCATGCGGCCCACCAGTAGCTTTACATTTGTCCATGCGGCCCACCAGTAGCTTTACATTTGTCCATGCGGCCCACCAGTAGCTTTACATTTGTCAATGTGGCCCACCGCACAAAAAAGTTTGCCCACCCCTGGATTAGACAAACATAAGCTCGTCTCTTCTGTACCTAGGGGTACGATACCAACCGACTTAACAATGCGACTCTAGTGCTGTTCGCACGTTCTAGATTAGCATAACTTTCAGCGATGTCTAAGGGTTCTTAAATAAAAAAAAAGTAAAAAAAAATCCCATTGCAGATCAGGGTTGGCAGAGTCTAAGCCTTAAATTTTTTCAGTGAACTATTTGCCAGTTACAGTTGATGATTTCCGAAGTTTTCTTTCAGTCGCCGCCTCTAGCACTACGGAAGCCACGCCCACTGCAAGAACCAGCACCTCAACGACGACCACGCCCCCCGCAAGAACAAGTACTTCAACGACGACCACGCCCACCACAAGAACAAGTACTTCAACGACGACCACGCCCACCACAAGAACAAGTACTTTAACGACGACCACGCCCACTACCAGAACAAGCACTTCAACGACGACCACGCCCACTACCAGAACAAGCACTTCAACGACGACCACGCCCACTACCAGAACAAGCACTTCAACGACGACCACGCCCACCACAAGAACAAGCACTTCAACGACGACCATGACCACGCCCACAACAAGAACTTCAACAACAGCCACGCCCACAACAAGAACAAGCACCTCAACGACGACCACGCCCACTACCAGAACAAGCACCACAGCAACATCCTCATCGACATCGACAACCGCACCCACAGTAACAACACCCAGCAACCAAGGTAAATTCCCACGCAGCTGTTCGTTATCTGACTCTATTTCATTTCCCCTCTCCCACCCTCTCACCATCCCCTACCACCCCCACCACCTCTGGACTGTCAACTATTTTTAATAATTAGTTTGTTAGTTTGACAAAATGCTTAATTAAAAAAAAACCACACACACAAACTTCATGCCGTGTGTTACGCACTGTATCAGTAGGGAGTAAATAAATCTCCTATTTACATAATATATGGCTCGTTTCAAAACAGTACATAACAAAAGATGATACCAAAAGATAAAAACAGTAACAAAGAATACGATACTCGAAACAGGGCTAATTACAATTAATAAGTTTTATTAAGTTAATAATAAAGTACAAAAGTCAAAAAGAAATATAATTAAAAACTATTAACTTATATAATATTGTGTGGCTGGTACCAGGACAATGTCGAATAAAACAGAATGTGCAAAAAAGGTACAAATAATGAAACGAATTCCACTGTAGACAAAGCACTCAAACGTACCAAAATAACTCTCTCTCTCCCTGGTATGCGTGCCACTAGCCTGTATTTATAGCCTATTCCATAGAAAATTCAAGGTCAGAATACGCATCGTAATAGGGACTCAAACATTCTACAGTCCCCTACCGCATTCGAGTAAAGAAACATACGCTATATTGGTTTGTGGTAAGCGAGATCAAAGGGAGTAAGATACGCCCAATAATAACGCAGGTGAATTGGGGGTCAGCTTAAGGTCGTTCACCAGGAAAAGATTAAATTGGGATAAAACTAGAACGCATGTGTGTATAACACCATGTTTCACCAAGATATTAGTTGTTAAAGGGAATGCTGTCATTTCAAAAGTTTGGGATGTTTAAAAAAAAAAATAATAATTCTGTTTGTTTTCAACTAGAAATCGTCACCTAGGGTAACGTTGTGAAAAAAAGGATGTTTTAAAAAACAACAACATATTTTTGTTGTAAAGTGTTTTAAATTATGGATGACATCCACAAATGGATGACATCCACAAATGGATGGATATGGGGGTTGGGTAGGCGGAGAAGTCGCGTAAAAACTCATCAAATAACAACACACATAAAAAGCCAACATTAAGCGTTACTCAGAACAAAAACAAACATACGACTAAAACAACAACAACCATTTCTTCCAGAATGTGGTGCCTCGTTAGCCCATCGCAAGAAGGTGATCAACGGGGTGGATGCCACGGAGTGCCAGTTCCCTTGGGTGGCCCACGTCACAGGACAGAACGACGGACAGATCTACTGCGGTGGTTCCATCATTGACAGCCGTCACGTGATCACAGCCGCCCACTGCCTGAGAAACCGGTGAGATATAGTAGGGGATTTTAAATACGTGAAGTTCACTTCGCGGAGAATGTTTGTAGAGGTTGATAGAGTACATGCTGGCGGTATTCGCGTAGCGAGACACTGTGCCACCCGGTGCGGACCGAAAGGCTTAAAAAAAAAAACAAAGCCATTTTCCAATTCTAGCTTATTTTCATTGGAAAAATAATTGGCAGCCTTGAATGGGTATCTAGATCCACGTTTAGTCAATTTTCTTTTATTCTTGTCATCGCACTAAACGTTCAATGCTTTTATCCCATGGGGCTCAAGGGACCCCATCCCAGGCGCACTTAAAACCACTATCTATGGACAATAAATGGATAGCTATGTGTCCCTTTGTTGTCTGGAAAATATTATAGAGATTTATTGAACTCAGGCAAATAATAAGCTGCACTTGTAATTGTATGCACACAATCACACTGGCTGAAGTTAATTTTATTAAATGGCTGCATCTCATGCTGGTTCCTAACGTCTGCATTTCGAGGAATTGTAAAGTTAAGAAGTAAAGCTAATCCACCTTTTTGCATGTGCGGTACAACTAAGGTTACTCTAAGAACACCTAAAATAAAGACATGCAAATATAAAGAATTTAAAAAAAAAATCAAGATGAGTTAAACACAATAAAAAGAAAGTAATTTAAAATTTCGTTGAATGCATTCAGCTGTCACATAGGCCTGCATTCAATTGTCACATAGACCTGAATCCAATTGTCACTTAGGCATACATTCTGTTGTCACATACGCCTGCATTCAGCTGTCACATAGGCCTGCATCCAGCTGTCACATACGCCTGCACCCAGCTGTCACATAGGCCTGCACCCAGCTGTCACATAGGCCTGCACCTAGCTGTCACATAGGCCTGCACCAAGCTGTCACATAGGCCTGCACCCAGCTGTCACATAGGCCTGCACCCAGCTGTCACATAGGCCTGCACCAAGCTGTCACATAGGCCTGAATTGAGATGTTATTTTAAGCCATCCCGTGTCATCAAAAGAAACTGAGCCTACGCCCTTATGTTACGATCCCCCGGTTCAGCGCTTCCTGAACTTCATTTTGGCGGACTGGTGTCCAAGTTTCCATTGCACCCTAGACCGCGGTCCGTTTCATTAAATGTTCTTTCGCTCTGACCATAAATATGTCATGACATATTGTTAAACCGTAGACAATTCTATAGGACTCAAATACATATTACCATCTAATACTAGCCGGCCATTTTTAAAAAAATATTTTGTGTGTGTGTGTTTTAAATACAAACAAAATTAACACCCGATAAAACTCCTTCCCCCCCCCCCCCCTTGATACAAGTTTTCTTCCTAGGGATTTCAGTGGCATAGCTAGGGTGTTTGCCGCACGGGGCAATCCAAGATGTTTGCGGCCTACATTCAGGAAAAAGCCCTCTGCATTTGCCCAAAAATTCTGCCACCAACCCCGATAATGAAAAAAAATTTGCCCCGCCCTGTGGGGGGGGGGGGCATCCCCTCTTGACCCTCTGCTACCCCTATGCTACTGGGCAATTTAACTTTAGTTTGTATCATAGTGTATGCACATTTTGAGGAGAATAATCTCACTTGCTTAATTTAAATTCCACACTTTCAATTAACGGCCAGGCGTTGAGAACAGTTGAGATGTATGTCACCTTCAGGGTGCAGATGTGTCTCCTGCAGGGTGCAGGTGTGTCTCCTTCAGGNGGTGCAGATGGGTCTCCTGCAGGGTGCAGTTGTGTCTCCTGCAGGGTGCAGATGTGTCTCCTGCAGGGTGCAGATGTGTCTCCTTCAGGGTGCAGATGTGTCTCCTTCAGGGTGCAGATGTGTCTCATTCAGGGTGCAGATGTGTCTCATTCAGGGTGCAGATGTGTCTCATTCAGGGTGCAGATGTGTCTTCTTCAGGGTGCAGATGTGTCTCATTCAGGGTGCACGTGTGTCTCATTCAGGGTGCAGGTGTGTCTTATTCAGAGTGCAGGTGTGTCTCATTCAGGGTGCAGATGTGTCTCATTCAGGGTGCAGATGTGTCTTCTTCAGGGTGCAGATGTGTCTCATTCAGGGTGCAGGTGTGTCTCATTCAGGGTGCAGGTGTGTCTTATTCAGGGTACAGGTGTGTCTCCTTCAGGGTGCAGTTTTGTCTCCTTCAGGGTGCAGGTGTGTCTCATTCAGGGTGCAGGTGTGTCTCCTTCAGGGTGCAGGTGTGTCTCATTCAGGGTGCAGCTGTGTCTCCTTCAGGGTGCAGGTGTGTCTCCTTCAGGGTGCAGGTGTGTCTCCTTCAGGGTGCAGGTGTGTCTCCTTCAGGGTGCAGGTGTGTCTCCTTCAGGGTGCAGGTGTGTCTCCTTCAGGGTGCAGGTGTGTCTCATTCAGGGTGCAGGTGTGTCTCCTTCAGGGTGCAGGTGTGTCTCATTCAGGGTGCAGGTGTGTCTCCTTCAGGGTGCAGGTGTGTCTCCTTCAGGGTGCAGGTGTGTCTCCTTCAGGGTGCAGGTGTGTCTCCTTCAGGGTGCAGGTGTGTCTCCTTCAGGGTGCAGGTGTGTCTCCTTCAGGGTGCAGGTGTGTCTCCTTCAGGGTGCAGGTGTGTCTCATTCAGGGTGCAGGTGTGTCTCATTCAGGGTGCAGGTGTGTCTCATTCAGGGTGCAGGTTGCACAATTGACAAATAAAGGAGCCGAAAAGTTTGGAACGCTGGTGCTCCCCCCACTCCCCCCATCCCTCTGTCACGTGGTTTAAGTCACCTTCTCCAACTGTTACGTTTGTTATCTTGTACCCCCACCCCACTGATTTAAGAAACACAGGTACTTGGGATTGCCAATTTAGGTTTGAACTTTGAACTCCACAATGTAATTTTTCTATTGATTTGCACTTTATTTGATATGGTAATATAATAGCTAGGTTCACTTATCACTTTTCCTCTTGCACGCGACGCTAGCTTCCCATAATAGCTAGGTTCACTTATCACTTTCCACCTGGCACACGCCACTAGCTTCCCATAATAGCTAGGTTCACTTATCACTTTCCACCTGGCACACGCCGCTAGCTTCCCATAATAGCTAGGTTCACTTATCACTTTCCACCTGGCACACGCCGCTAGCTTCCCATAATAGCTAGGTTCACTTATCACTTTCCACCTGGCACACGCCGCTAGCTTCCCATAATAGCTAGGTTCACTTATCACTTTCCACCTGGCACATGCCGCTAGCTTCCCATAATAGCTAGGTTCACTTATCACTTTCCACCTGGCTCATGCCGCTAGCTTCCCATAATAGCTAGGTTCACTTATCACTTTTCACCTGGCACGCGACGCTAGCTTCCCATAATAGCTAGGTTCACTTATCACTTTCCACCTGGCACACGCCGCTAGCTTCCCATAATAGCTAGGTTCACTTATCACTTTCCACCTGGCACATGCCGCTAGCTTCCCATAATAGCTAGGTTCACTTATCACTTTCCACCTGGCTCATGCCGCTAGCTTCCCATAATAGCTAGGTTCACTTATCACTTTTCACCTGGCACGCGACGCTAGCTTCCCATAATAGCTAGGTTCACTTATCACTTTCCACCTGGCACACGCCGCTAGCTTCCCATAATAGCTAGGTTCACTTATCACTTTCCACCTGGCACATGCCGCTAGCTTCCCATAATAGCTAGGTTCACTTATCACTTTCCACCTGGCACACGCCGCTAGCTTCCCATAATAGCTAGGTTCACTTATCACTTTCCACCTGGCACATGCCGCTAGCTTCCCATAATAGCTAGGTTCACTTATCACTTTCCACCTGGCACATGCCGCTAGCTTCCCATAATAGCTAGGTTCACTTATCACTTTCCACCTGGCACACGCCGCTAGCTTCCCATAATAGCTAGGTTCACTTATCACTTTCCACCTGGCACATGCCGCTAGCTTCCCATAATAGCTAGGTTCACTTATCACTTTCCACCTGGCACACGACGCTAGCTTCCCAGGCTCCTCTTGATGCCTAAAACCCGGAGTATTTTTTATGCTTAAGACCATCTCGATTATTTTATGTTTGTTTGGACATCAGACTCAAACATGTAACTTGTCACCCCAGTTTCTTGGCTAATATGCGGAGGGGGCGTTCAGCCCCGGGTGGCACTTTACCCTTTTTATGTAGGGCGGCTTTTCGGCCAACTGCAGAACTTTCTTCGTGGAAGGGGGTGGGAAAAATCTTGGCCCCTCCCCTAGCGGCACTAAATCCCAGCTACGAAACTGTCTGAAGGGCAATTGACGAGGGACCGTGAAGAGCGTTCGAGAGAAGCTTCGATGTTTCTGTAAACATTTTATGTCTGCTGGCTTGTATTATATTGAATTGGCTCATCACTTGAAACATGAACTATTTGGAACATGAACTATTTGGAACACGAACCATTTGAAACATGAACTATTTGGAACATGAACAATTTGGAACACGAACCATTTGAAACATGAACTATTTGGACCACGAACCACTTGAAACATGAACTATTTGGACCACGAACCACTTGAAACATGAACTATTTGAAACATGAACTATTTGGACCACGAACCACTTGAAACATGAACTATTTGGAACATGAACTATTTGGAACACGAACCATTTGAAACATGAACTATTTGGAACATGAACTATTTGGAACACGAACCATTTGAAACATGAACTATTTGGAACACGAACCATTTGAAACATGAACTATTTGGAACATGAACAATTTGGAACACGAACCATTTGAAACATGAACTATTTGGACCACGAACCACTTGAAACATGAACTATTTGGACCACGAACCACTTGAAACATGAACTATTTGAAACATGAACTATTTGGACCACGAACCACTTGAAACATGAACTATTTGGAACATGAACTATTTGGAACACGAACCATTTGAAACATGAACTATTTGGAACATGAACTATTTGGAACACGAACCATTTGAAACATGAACTATTTGGACCACGAACCACTTGAAACATGAACTATTTGGACCACGAACCACTTGAAACATGAACTATTTGAAACATGAACTATTTGGACCACGAACCACTTGAAACATGAACTATTTGGACCACGAACCACTTGAAACACGAAATATTTGGACCACGAATCACTTGAAACATGAACTATTTGGACCACGAACCACTTGAAACATGAACTATTTGGACCACGAACCACTTGAAGCATGAACTATTTGGACCACGAACCACTTGAAACATGAACTATTTGAAACATGAAATATTTGAAACATGAAATATCTGAAACACGAAACACTTGAAACATGAAATATTTGAAACACGAAACACTTGAAACATGAAATAGTTGAAACACGAACCACTTGAAACATGAAATATTTGAAACACGAAACACTTGAAACATGAAATATTTGAAACACGAAAGACTTGAAACAGGAAATATTTGAAACATGAAATATTTGAAACACGAAACACCTGAAACATGAAATATTTGAAACATGAAATATTTGAAACACGAAACACTTGAAACATGAAATATTTGAAACATGAAATATTTGAAACACGAAACACTTGAAACATGAACTACTTGAAACTCAACGGGACACACGTTTGTCATCAACACTTTTCACCTGAAATTTACTTCTGTCACATGCATTTTTGTCTGCCATTCGTTTCCAGTAAGACTGGTCAGATAGCCTCACCTTCCATGGTCAATGTCAGTGTCGGGTCGTCTAACCGGACAAGACTGACAACTGTTCAAGTCTCAGCCATCATCATGGACCCACGTTACAACTCGGCCACTAAAGGTGAGTAGAGTAGTGCAAGAAGTAGTACAATGACTAGTACGAGAAGTAGTACAATAATTAGCATTATAATTAGTATAATAAGTAGTATAATAAGTAATTCAAGGCTGTATATTTATAGTCGAGTATAAAGAAGGGCATGGCTTAATTTTTTAAATATTTATTTTTTATTTTTTATTTTTTATTACACCGAGTTATTTTTAGTCACCGCACATTGTCTGCTAACGGAACATTGTTCAGTTTTGACAATCAATTTTTAATTTTTTGTTTTGTTTTGTCTATTGAAGATTACGACACGGCTATCCTGAGACTGGACAATGCATTGACCTTCTCAGATTGTGTACAGCCCATTTGTCTGCCCAGTGTCACGGACGATCCAGCAGCTGCAGACTTTTGCGAGGTCGCAGGATGGGGTCTTACTATCTGTGAGTCCAGGTCTTAGGAGGGGGGTCTTTTATAAATATGAATCCAGGTCTTAGTAAAAGTTAAGTAAGTTCATGTACGTTTAAACCCGTCTTTGATAGAAAGTCTTTATTCAAAAAATTTTAAAAACAATTTTTTTATTACCACATGAAACTGCTTTTATTCCAACAATTGCACACTGGGCTATTTTACCAGATGGTAACAATACATCAGAAGCAACTATTCTCCAACACGTGGAGCTGCCCCTTGTTGATCAGCAACGCTGTCAGAACTCCTACTTCACTGGCCCAGAGACCATTAATGAGCTTAAGCTCTGTGCTGGGGACTACTATCAGGGTGGCAGGGACACGTGCAGTGTAAGTAGAAATCTTTTAACTACCACCAGGGTAGAATAGATGCTTATAGAGTAAGTCGGAAGGCTAAATGAACTACTTCCCGTCATCCTATCGAACTTAAACTTGACACATAGACTCGTTGCCAATGACAACGAATGCTTTCAATTTTTTCAGCCCGACCTCCCCACCCCAACCCTAAAAAATCTGATTTTCAAGGTTGGAAAAGAGGGGGGGGGGATGTTAACGCATTATTAAATGGGTGTGTGTTTTGGTGTGGAGATTAAATGTGTAGCCGTTGCTATGTGTTTTTCATTTGTGACGTATTTGGGTGTGCAGTTTTTGCCAATGACAACGAATGCTTTCAATTTTTTCAGCCCGGCCTCCCCACCCCAACCCTAAAAAATCTGATTTTCAAGGTTGGAAAAGAGGGGGGGGGGGATGTTAACGCATTATTAAATGGGTGTGTGTTTTGGTGTGGAGATTAAATGTGTAGCCGTTGCTATGTGTTTTTCATTTGTGACGTATTTGGGTGTGCAGTTAGTATTATTTTTTTTACTATATAGTATAGTGCATTCAAAAAAGAAATTTGACGCGAAATTTTAACGTGTGAACTGAAAAAAAGATTCGACCAAATTCCCATTCAATTAAATTTCTGTCGATCAATTTTCCGTTGAAGAAATTTCTTTTGATCAAATTTCCGGTAACAGTTTCAGCCATATCCTCAAACCCAAAACATTTATTATAATTATCGCGTTTGAAGTGTTGTAGAAATGTTTAAAAAAAACAAAAAACTATATGATTAACTTTTAATTTGGCTGAAATTGCCCTCTCACCTTAAGTGTTTTCTTTCATCCGTCTCATCAGGGGGACTCAGGGGGTCCACTCATGTGCTTATCCAAGGGTCGCTACTTTCTCTACGGCGTCACATCCTTTGGCAAGTACTGCGGCTTTCGTTACTACCCAGGAGTCTACGCAAGAGTCAACCATCCGAGCATCTTGGATTTCATCAACTCGGTCAGGAGCAGCTAACTCGCAGCTTCTAACATAGTTACCAACAACATCGTTGCTAGGGGAAAGGACGCCATGCTTGTTTTATTTAAATAATGAAATAACTTTGGTGGGTATTAATACTGAGAGGTGTCTATGGGGATTACGAGCATGAAATGAAAATTTTAAGGAATTGAAAATCTGAATTTCGAATCTAGTTTATACCAGAACCTGTTCGCGAGGACGCTTGGACTAGAGTCACGTGTTCAGAGGAGTTCTTTTTTTTTGAATGGTGCTAGGAGCACCGGTGCATAAAACGTTACTTCTGTCTCCATCGCACAATTTCCTTGCTTCGTACATCCCTCGTACATATTGAGAAACATTTTCCTCATGGAAATAACCGAGAGGCACCCCAAAGGGGGGGGGGGGCAGACATCGGGGATTGTAAATACTTGTGGACGCAACTGATCTCTGTTTTACTAAACTATTTTTGAATGCTTTACATATTTTTTTGTTTTTGGGGGATCATAACCTTAAAACATACACAAAAAAAAAAAAGTTTTTCAGTGGCGGAACCTATTTTTTTAAAAATGAAAAAACCGGGGGGGACCCCAAAGGGGGGGGGGGGGCAGACATCGGGGATTGTAAATACTTGTGGACGCAACTGATCTCTGTTTTACTAAACTATTTTTGAATGCTTTACATTTTATTTTGTTTATGGGGGATCATAACCTTAAAACATACACACAAAAAAAAAGGTTTTTCAGTGGCGGATCCTATTTTTTTAAAAAATGAACTTGGACCCCGATGAAAGAGTGATGGCATAGGAGGATTGGAGGGTTGGGGTGAGTTGAATGGGGGAGTCTGCCCCCCCTCCAATTATAAGTCAATTATAATTGTACAACCCTGGTGATAATTATGAATTAAGGGTTGATTTGTTTAACATGTACGTTAATTTTTATTATTGTGTTGTACACAATGCTCTCTTTGCTCAAATTACTATGTACACCGCCTCCCGATTTCATACTCATGTACATACAGTCAGTGATGTAGTAATACACCTCTTGCATGCTCAAAACCTTTCTTCTCTATGACGCAAGGGTCATCATGCACGCTCAAGACATGTCAGTGACATAATACACATCTCTCATGCTCAAGACATATCAGTGACATAATACAGATCTCTCACGCTCAAGACGTGTCAGTGACATAATACACATCTTTCATGCTCAAGACATGTCAGTTACATAATACACATCTTGCATGCTAAAAAAACAACAAATATGACATGCTCATAACATTGTGGCATCCGTTGTGGGTCACATTGGTAACAGAAGTAAAACACGTTCTGGTCCCTGGTTGTGTTGTCTTGTGTTGTTATTCAAAGCAGTCACGTAATCCTGTTTCTTAATATGTTTTTAAACCCCGCGGCTTGTACGCGACTGTACAACTTTCAGCCACATCATTGGAACTGTACGGCCTTTAGAATCTGTGCTCGGAAATCGTTGAGTCGCTTGTTGAAATGTCTGTACAACTTTCAGCCACATCATTGGAACTGTACAGCCTTTAGAATCTGTGCTCGGAAATCGTTGAATCGCTCATTGAAATGTCGATGCTGTTGTCCAGTGTACATATATTTTCTTCATCTTTACGACAGCAATTTGAAAAAAGAAAAAGAAAAAGAAAGATATATCTCCGTTATCCGGAGCATCGAGGCGATTGCGAAATCTGGAAGTAAAGAATCTAAATGGCACACAGTAATGGATTGTAAACATGGCTTCACGAAGAGCATTTTGTCCGATTGTATGCAGGTGTTTTCTCTTTGGGCGGGCTCTACCGCAGGACGCTATAAAACAAACATTTCCAATAAAAGGAACTTTGAGTTAGGATATTTAGATGGGTTCACTGGGGACATTTTCGTTTATACCTCCACCACACACCCCCCTCTATTTATGTGGGCTCACTGGTGCGTGTCGACTGTCTCTTGGCAGTTAAGTTTATATCTTTACTCCTTTCGCCGCACAACACATACCCACAGTGGCATAGAAAAACAACCATTTCGTAATAAATGACGATGTCGATAGGACGAAATGTTTGCTCAATGTTATGCACATCAGATCTCATGACGTATTGGTAAATTTAAGCATTCAATGTTGTGCACATCAGATCTCATGACGTATTGGTAAATTTAAGCATTCAATGTTGTGCACATCAGATCTCATGACGTATTGGTAAATTTAAGCATTCAATGTTGTGCACATCAGATCTCATGACGTATTGGTAAATTTAAGCATTCAATGTTGTGCACATCAGATCTCATGACGTATTGGTAAATTAAAGCATTCAATGTTATGGACATCAGATCTCATGATGTATTGGTAAATTTAAGCATTCAATGTTATGCACATCAGATCTCATGACGTATTGGTAAATTTAAGCATTCAATGTTATGCACATCAGATCTCATGACGTATTGGTAAATTTAAGCATTCAATGTTATGCACATCATATCTCATGACGTATTGGTAAATTTAAGCATTCAATGTTGTGCACATCAGATCTCATGACGTATTGGTAAATTTAAGCATTCAATGTTATGCACATCAGATCTCATGACGTATTGGTAAATTTAAGCATTCAATGTTGTGCACATCAGATCTCATGACGTATTGGTAAATTTAAGCATTCAATGTTATGCACATCATATCTCATGACGTATTGGTAAATTTAAGCATTCAATGTTGTGCACATCAGATATCATGACGTATTGGTAAATTTAAGCATTCAATGTTATGCACATCATATCTCATGACGTATTGGTAAATTTAAGCATTCAATGTTATGCACATCAGATATCATGACGTATTGGTAAATTTAAGCATTCAATGTTATGCACATCAGATATCATGACGTATTGGTAAATTTAAGCAATCAATGTTATGCACATCAGATATCATGACGTATTGGTAAATTTAAGCATTCAGTCTTGTTATGCAGAACACATTTTCATGATTTGGAGTGGGGCGAGGGGAGGGGAGAGTCTAATTTAGCGGACAGAAGCTAATTGTTTTATAGTATATATATATATGTCAATAAGTCAAAGTACCAACCGATGGTGTGTGGATTAGTATGCATGTATTTTAACATTGCGTGTCTAGAATATTGAAGTATTTAATATGGGTCATTTACAGATATACATATACATAAGCATTGTATGATTGAAATATGCATATATGGAGTGTTTGAAATGTGCATAGATGGGATGGAGTGTTTGAAATGTGCATAGATGGGATGGAGTGTTTGAAATGTGCATAGATGGGATGGAGTGTTTGAAATATGCATAGATGGGATGGAGTGTTTGAAATATGCATAGATGGGATGGAGTGTTTGAAATATGCATAGATGGGATGGAGTGTTTGAAATATGCATAGATGGTATGGAGTGTTTGAAATATGCATAGATGGGATGGAGTGTTTAAAATATGCACGTATTTTCTATAATGTTTTATACATAGATATTTTATTACAAAGATGTATTAAAGGAATCTAAAAAAAAAATAAAGAATAAAAACTTTATTCTATTGTTTCCATTATTTCAGTCCAAGAATTTTCCAGTTATTAAAAAAAAACAAAAGACAACCTTATTTAAAAGCTATCTCGTGGTATGAACAAATCATTTATTTCATGAAGATTGAATAAGTTCTGATTAGTTCAATGCTGAAGGACAACTCTTTGTATAATTACAGCAGTCATGACGCAATCATGACGTTTCGTGTGCAATTTCTTTTTGCAAGGCCCTTAACTGTTGTGAAATAATATTGATGGTATTTAACGGAAGAGACCTTAATTGAGAAATATATTAAGTTGTTTCCCTTTCATTTTTCTAAATAAGTCGTTCTTAACACACCCTGGCGAATCAGACGAGTGTTAAAGGGTCGTTAGCAAATTACGTCACGCTCTGGGGGGAGGGGGAGGGAGGGGGGTCGAGAATTTGTGACACTTTGTCACAGGGGAGAGGGGGGGTGGTCAGAAATTTCTGACGTCACAATTTCTAAATATTTGTTTAAATCTAAATTTTTTTAATTCTGAAAAATCTTTATTCAATAAAGTTTTAAAACATTAATTTCAGGTCGAAATTTCCTCAGGTATTATAGGTACCGTAAACTCAGTCACGCCCACATTTTCTGCACATTTCGAAAAATGACGTAAACCACTGTTGTGGCTTTTTTTTTACATTCGGCTTGGGGAGGACTTCGTTGTTTTGCGTTCTACGTCACAGTTTTCTAACAATAGTCCATCTTAATCCATAATGGGAAAATGCTAATGAATAAAATAAAATCTTAGTTAAGTTATGAGAATTTTATGCATGTTTTGATTTTTTTTTTAGGTGTGACGTGACACTAAGGGGGTGTGGGGAGGGTTAAAGAATTTGTGACACTTTGTGACAGGGAGGAGGGGGGTCTGAAAAGGTACATTTTTTTCGTGACGTAATTTGCGATCGACCCTTTAGTTAAAAACGAGTGGTCATTATAAAATGTGTAACTGAATGTTAATGAAATAATATTTGGTAATACACGCTTAATAAAGCAGAGATTGTAGCACAGAGAAGAGAAAAAAAAAGTAGTAATAAAATAATAAGTTATGAATACCCATTTTGTTCGGCTTATTCTATAGGAAATGCTCATACTACTAGCAACATCCAATGGTAAGGGAACTCGAGTTTTAAAATTTATATGAAAGATGACCTTCTACTTCATGACCAGGACGATACCAAGCAAGGGTCGGAGGTATGCATCATTTTCATGCATGCCTGTCTGTCGGTCAATCTGACAGTCTGACTGTCTTTTTTTTCTTTCCATCTGTACAATGCATTCCCTTCTCAGAAAGTAAAAAAACAGATTTCATCATAAAACTCAAATACATTTTCTTTCTTTGTTTATATTTGTGTTAAAAAAACAACAACAACAACAAAATTAAAATGAAAAAACAACTGATTTGACTTAACCATAAATGACAATGCTTTAAAAAGATCTCCGAGTGGGTACCCTATAAATAAATCAATCGAAGTGATCTCGTAGACGTCAGGCAGGAAACTGTTTGTCATGACGCACACACACACACTCACACACATGAGGGCAACACAGACGTCAGATGAGATCGAACACCAACAAGGAAATAAATTCAGACATTTTAAAAGTCCATTGTAACCAAAGTGTATAAACCACGGGGCTTTTTCGTACATGACACATGGAGTTGGAGGGTATTCACTAACGTGTACTCTCTAACAAGTTAGCTAGAGAAAGAGGGGTGCATGGAGTCGAAGGGTATTCACTAACGTGTACTCTCTAAAAAGTTAGCTAGAGAAAGAGGGGTGCATGGAGTTGAAGGGTATTCACTAACGTGTACTCTCTAACAAGTTAGCTAGAGAAAGAGGGGTGCATGGAGTTGAAGGGTATTCACTAACGTGTACTCTCTAACAAGTTGGCTAGAGAAAGAGGGGTGCATGGAGTTGAAGGGTATTCACTAACGTGTACTCCCTAACAAGTTGGCTAGAGAAAGAGGGGTGCATGGAGTTGAAGGGTATTCACTAACGTGTACTCTCTAACAAGTTGGCATCTCTTTCTCCCCACGTACCTCAACTTCCCATAAGTGATTGCACATGTCTCTAACAAGTTGGCTAGAGAAAGAGGGGTGCATGGAGTTGAAGGGTATTCACTAACGTGTACTCTCTAACAAGTTAGCTAGAGAAAGAGGGGTGCATGGAGTTGAAGGGTATTCACTAACGTGTACTCTCTAACAAGTTAGCTAGAGAAAGAGGGGTGCACGGGGATGTAAATTGTTGTATTTTCTCTAATCACTGAGTCTCACACTGACAAGGTCATGTTCACACTGACAAGGTCATGTTCACACTGACAAGGTCATGTTCTTAAATCATTTGGCCTCACATTGACACATAAGGTCATGTTCCAAAAATCACTGGGTCACACACTGACTTATTAGATAATGTTCCCATCGCAGTGTTTCTCACAATAGAAAATTAAATTAAGTTAACAAGTGATTTCATACTAAAACTTAGGATTTGGAGACACCGTCAAATGAATCAGGTGAAATAACTTTATTGACTTTTTAAATTATATAGACATTTTTATATATATACAAACGAGGAGCATATAATTCAGTTAAATTTTTTTTTTTTTTTTAAATTTGAGTAATATTTCCCCTTGGTTGAAGAAGGCGAAGAAAAATGAATTGTTAACCGTGACAATTTTAAAATATCTTTTCATTAAACTTTTTTTTTTTTTTTTGTTTTTTAAATTTTTTTTTATTCTGTTAAATTTTTTTTTTTTTTTTTTAAATTTGAGTAATATTTCCCCTTGGTTGAAGAAGGCGAAGAAAAATGAATTGTTAACCGTGACAATTTTAAAATATCTTTTCATTAAACTTTTTTTTTTTTTCTTCGTTACTTAAACGTTTTTTGGGTTGTGAAAATAAAATTAATGCCACTGTCAGCATCGTAAGAACCACTGAAGCATGGGGCACACATCAACGCCCACCATTGATTTACACGCAAAGAGTCGCACTTGAATGTGCAGCAGACGTCCAATGGTGTTTCACGTTAGGAGGTACGACACGCTTGCCGTCATGCCCAGACACACTACATTATTGAGCAGGCATTAAATGGTTATTACATGTTATCAGACATGGCACAATTCCTGTCATGACCAGACACACTGCATTGTTGTGTAAGAAGGTACGTACCTAATACGTTGTTTATATTATAATGTAAAATAACATTCGATTTAAAAAAAAAAAAAAAAATTCCTCTGATTATGAAACTCTCGTGTAAGTTTTTCCACCTGTTCCATGGTTATGGTGGGGGGGATGGGGGTGCTTGTATACAGTTGGTGGTTTTACGCTACAACTACGGCGACACATTTGGTGAAATCTCTAAGAGCATTCAATTGAAGTTAGCTCACTTGAGGCGATCGTTTAATAAACAGAGGGCTGTCCAAGAAGCTTGTGACGTCAGATCTGCAGGAATGGGTCCGTTTTGTCACGTCAGAGCCAGTGGGATGTGTACACTCTGTGACGTCACATCCGTTAGAATGTTTACCGTTTGTAATGTCAGTGCTTTGGAATAGCATAACTTTTTGTGGCGTCGGAGATAGTGGGAAGTTTTTGTTTGTTTGTTGTTGAGATTTCTTGTGTGTTGAAGGGT